AAGTTTTTGTTTTAGTAGGGTTGATTGTGATATGTACATAAATAAGACAAAATCAAAAGTGGTGAGAACTAATATAAATTCTTACGGGTCTGATTGGCATTACAGCATTTAGACACACCATCTGTTTCATATGTATATTATATGCTGTGTATTACTAACACTCAGTGTCTCACACAGGAGATAAAATATATGCACATGTGTGCTAATATATGTGCCTGTAAATAAAAACTGAAACAGACACTCTAAATATGTAATTTGTATTGAAGAGCCACCATTAAGGTTGGGAACCAAAGAACATTAAAAAAAAAATACAAGTAACTAGCATGGCATATAATAGTGATAAACCACAGTAAGTTGTAACAATACTAAGCCATAATAATAAAAAAAAACCTCTAAAGAAAGTCTGTAATAAAACATTGTTTTAAGACAGTTGGATTTAATTATCTCACAATTCTGTCCATTAAACCAGCTTCTACAACCTGTTTTTATTGGACAGGATCAGGTGAATGTTCCTATAATCTTATAGTGTTAGTACTTGTACATGAATAAGAATACTCCAAGACAGTAGTCTTCAAACTAAGGTACACATACACCTGAGGGTACACAAAGATTTGTGGGAGTATAACCATGGAGAGCTCTAAGGGAATCATTATCTGTGTCTGCATTTCACACATACATACATATTGTTTCCAAAACTGGTCTGTTAGAAAAGTGCTTATGTTCTATGAGTTCTCCTTTCCTATGCCCTTTCAAAATAGCCTTCTTGCTTAGCCATTCTTAGCAATGGTTGAAACCTATCTATGTCACTAAAGGGACGACTATAGGAAATCTTATTCTAGAAGAATCTCAGGAGAGCACAGAATCAGCATCAGCTTCAAGACACAATCACTGGATGGAGCACTGCCTGGTCTTCATCTAGAGACTCTGGGCAAGTTTCTGTGTCTCATCTCTTTCAGAAGTGAAATAGATGCCAGAGAGATGTGTATTACACATTTACTTAAGCTAATATTATTAAGGTGAATGACTGATTTGGCTATCTGATTTGTTAGAGGAGTTTTTATCTTTTGAAACTATTTAAACCTTGAATTAAAAAATGTAGGTGGTAGCTTTAAAATGTGTGAAGGTGTTCCTACTTTCAAAAAATTCTTTTAGGAGATAAAAGACCAGACATTTGCAAACCACTGGTCTTCAGAAATATAAACAAAAAAAGAATTCAAAGCAATGACAAATGAGAATTTTTCCTTAGGTTGACAGTTTCTCTACTCAGAGAGTATTCTTTGATAAAGACACCATGTATGTAGTCTTTGTGTTTTTGGTTGAACAGGCAATGTGATAGAGGAAACAGCACAGGCTTTGCTCCTTCCTGACCTTCCTGAACCTGAGATTTCCACTTCTAGTAGACAGCTGACATATAAATAAGAAAGCCTTGCTACCCATAGTCAGTCCAAGAGCCAGCAGACCTGACATCATCTGAGAGCTTGTTAAAATGCAAATTATGAGGCCCACCCCAGAGCTACTGATTTGGAATTTGGAATTTAACAAGATTCTTGGGTGATTTAAATGTTTACTGCACCATGAGAAGTACTAGTAAAGAACAGGCCATTAGAGCAGAAAGATAAAATCACTAGATGCACCTGCTAAAATAAAAGTTGAGTTGTTGTCTAACTTCTAATGATAGACTAGCATACATACATGACCATGAACATACACACACACACACAATGTCTGGAGACATTTTTAGTTGTCATAATTGTAGGATGCTGCTAAATATCTTACACAAGATGGCCCAAATGTCAACAGCACTAAGGTTGGAGAAACCCTGACATAAATTACATAACATCCCTGCATAAAGGCATATTAATTGGAATTATTAAGGAAAAAGGAATCATAATATGAATGCACAGCTCTGACGGGAAGAATTTCAGATTTGTGGAATTTTGTATCTCAAGGGGTGCTACCTTAAAAATTATGAGAACTCTGATTAAAAATTCTCAAAATCATTTATCTGTTTTTGCTAACTAAACCAGAGTCCATTATAATCTGTACTGACATATACACAGTTAGTCAGAATACCAATGCCGAAAACCTGTTAATATGCCAAGAAAAAGAAAGGCAGCAAAAAGTTGTTACTATTTTGTCTAAAATCTATTCCTACTTGAAGAAGGGAGCTAGACTTAAGAGCCTCAACCTGACATCCTTCTCATCTCTTGAAGACCATAAACTAATCTCAGATGCTCCTAGATATGTCAAGATGTCAAGAAATAGTGACTTTGCATAAGCCCATTCACCACTATCAGAAGCACTAATTCCTTCAAATGCCATGTCATAACCAGTCTCTCACACACACATGTACATAACCACACAGCATGTAATATTGTAGCCAACTGACTGAAAAGTTTTCATCAGGTCCTCCTGCCCTCAGGACTCACTGGCTCCTGGTTATGAGCTTCCACGGCCCAAGTTATAAGTTTTCTGCAAATAAACTATTTCCCTTCCTGACAGGCTTTCGCAGACTGTCCCATGGTATGTTCATGGGAGTGGCTCAGTGCAATAGCAAGTTATTGGGAAACAAGGAGTAGGGAAATGAAGTAAATGCACTCAAATCTTCAGTTTTATGTGCTTACTTTGAAAGGTGGAGCTTAGGGAGCAGATGGGGATGCCAGCCAGTTACAAAAAACCATTAAAAAATATATCACACTTGCACCATGCTGAAAAAGATGCATCATGCTTGCTGCCAAAAACAGTGAACACAACAGAAACAACTGAAACTTTCTCAAAACCTTTTTTCGCTAGTTACTAGAACTGCCAAGATTCATTAACCAACATCCATTTTAAGGCTTTCATTATACTGCAAAACAATCTTCCTCCTTCATGTCCTTAAAAAACCACATCCCCTTCTCATAGAAATTGAAATAGCACATGCTATTATTTAATAAGATGAAAAGAAATCTTGAAGAGTTTTTGTGAAACTGTTTTCTTAATGAAACTATAACAACTATGCTGCACAGGGGAAAAATATTGAACTGAGGGTATGCTCAATGCATTGTCAACACCATTAAACACAATTCTGTTACTAAGGTAGAAGGAAGAAGCATGCTGCCAAGTTTCTGTTAATTATTTCACCACCAAAGCAGTTTACTCATGGACTCTGCCATGGGTTGCAGAGCTCCACAACCATTCAGGACAGACAAAGCTGCCATGTTTCGCTTTTCATCCTCCCAGGAGTCTCAAGTAGGGAGTAGGGAAAGGCAGAAGCTATGTACAAGCCTCTTGCCAAGACCATGGATGAGCTCATCATCAGCCCCAACCCAGCCACTTCTGAATTTCACAGGCCACAACCCTTGAGCCAGCCTCTGTCAGGTACTCAAAACAGGAAAAACAAAAATGGATCCTTCCCACAACTTCCCACAAAAAAGTTTGGGATTTCTTACATTATGTAGTTATTTTAAACATGTTTCTTCTGTGTAGTGTAATTACAGAAAAGCACATATTAGAATCTCAAAAAGAAGAAGTCTATATTTCCAAGACTACCCCAAATTAGTTTCTTTTTAAAAAGTACTCTCAAAAAGTTCTGTGACAAGCATGGAAGATGCACTGGAATTAATTCATTCCTAACAGAAAATATTTATTAACATATTGTGAACTCTTCAGGCTTGATCAGAGAGCAAGTATTTATATTTTCATCCATGCCAAGTCTTTTAGTAGTCAGGGACTCCTTTCTATTTTAGTTTCTGTGTAACAAGAGCTGTTATTACATCCTCTATAATCAGCCCATTCTCAGTATAATTAAGAGTGCCACAAGTTTAAAACTTCAACCTCACTACAGAAGTACAGGAGTATGTGGAAGAGATAGTTTCTGTATGTAAAATATCCTCCTGTTAGGCAGACAGATTTAAAATATAAAAGAAAAAATAGCACATAATAATGGAGTCATCATTTAAGAGGGACTCATTATGTTCCTAATAGAGTTTCACCATCATTTCTAGTATGAGATTCTTATCCATAAGCTGCCTGCTCCTCCTTGCTCTTCCTATATATTATGAAAACTCCAAACCTCCCCACCCTCAGATACTCCTCAGTTCCCCTCATTTAACTGTCAATCAGCAAAGACCTGAGTTCAAAACCCAAGTACTGCCCTCAAATTCAATAACTCAATAACTATACAAAGATACACATGAATTGGTTTCTAGGACAGTATCATGTTAGTTCAAATCAACTTTTAACAGGCAGAATTCTAAACAGTATGAACAAAATTTTATATTAACTGAGAATCAGGGGCTGGGGGCATATCTTAAGTGGTAGAACACTTGCCTAGCTTGCATGAGGCCCTGATTTTAATCCCTAGTATTGTAAAACAAACAAACAAACAAAAACTGTGAGTTGAACATCAAGTAGTCATATAGCACACATTTTAATGGCTCAAACAACCCATTTAGTAAATATAACAGTAACTAATTAAAAAAAAATCAACAACAGTAACACATCAAATGTTTACCACATGTCAGGATTAATTACCTCATTTAATTTTCACAAAAAGCCCCTGAAGTAAATACAATTATTGCACTTTTTTCATATAAAGAAATCAAGACTCATAGAGATGTTACAAAACTACAAAGTTAATTACCTGGTAAGGGTAGGACCTTACTTACTTGAAGTTTTGAAGCCAGGGCTAACTTAATCTCAAGCCTGAACTTGTATTTTCACAGACTTTGGGTTAGAATACCCACTGATTTTTGTTATACAATTTGAAACAAATATTCTTGACTTTCCTTTTCTACTAAGGCTCCTGGTGAACTGCAATTAAAATCATTAGTGATAGTCAAATAAAAAAGCAAGATATCAGTGTATAAATATTCTCCTCCCAAATCAAATTCAGAAACTCCTTTTCATATTCTCTATGAACTGACACAATCTTTCTAAATTACAAAGGTATTTAATCATTAGATGATGAGTTAGTAAAGCACCAATTGCAAAACAGAATGCACTCTTGTATTTTCCAGATTAAAGAAGCTGATTGATCAAGAAACTGAGTCCCAGGAGAAGAAAGAACAAGAGAAGGAGAAGAGGGTCACTGCCCTGAAAGAGGAGTTGACCAAGCTGAAGTCTTTTGCTTTGATGGTGGTGGATGAGCAACAAAGGCTGACAGCTCAGCTCGCCCTTCAAAGACAGAAAATCCAAAACCTGACCACAAGTGCAAAGGAAACACAGGCTAAACTAGCCCTTGCTGAAGCCAGGTTTCAGGAGGAAAAGCAGAAGGCAACCAGACTAGAGAAGGAACTGCAAACACAGACCACAAAGTTTCATCAGAACCAAGAAATAGTTATGGCGAAGCTCACCAACGAGGACAGTCAAAATCGCCAACTCCGACAAAAGCTGACAGCACTCAGCCGGCAAATTGATGAGTTAGAAGAGACAAACAGGTCTTTACGAAAAGCAGAAGAGGAGCTGCAAGATATGAAAGAAAAAATCAACAAGGGAGAATATGGAAACGCTGGTATCATGACTGAGGTGGAGGAACTCAGGAAGCGCGTGCTAGATATGGAAGGGAAAGATGAAGAGCTCATTAAAATGGAGGAACAATGCAGAGATCTCAATAAAAGGCTTGAAAAGGAAACAGCACAAAGTAAAGACTTCAAGCTAGAGGTTGAAAAACTTAATAAAAGGATTATGGCTCTTGAAAAATTAGAAGATGCTTTCAACAAAAGCAAACAAGAATGCTACTCTCTGAAATGCAATTTAGAAAAAGAAAGGATGACCACAAAGCACTTGTCTCAAGAACTGGAGAGTTTAAAAGGAAGGATCAAAGAGCTAGAAGCCATTGAAATTCGACTGGAAAAGACAGAATTCACCCTAAAGGAGGATTTAACTAAACTCAAAACATTAACTGTGATGCTTGTAGATGAACGTAAAACAATGAGCGAAAAATTAAAACAAACTGAAGATAAGTTGCAAGCTGCTTCTTCTCAACTTCAAGTGGAACAAAATAAAGTAACCACAGTTACTGAGAAGTTAATTGAAGAAACTAAAAGAGCACTCAAGTCCAAAACTGATGTGGAAGAAAAGATGTACAATGTAACCAAGGAGAGAGATGATCTAAAAAATAAACTGAAAGCAGAAGAAGAAAAAGGAAATGATCTCTTGTCAAAAGTTAACATGTTGAAAAACAGGCTTCACTCATTGGAAGCAACTGAGAAAGATTTTGTAAAAAACAAATTAAATCAAGACTCTGGTAAATCCACAACAGCATTACACCAAGAAAACAATAAGATTAAAGAGCTCTCTCAAGAAGTGGAAAGACTGAAACTGAAGTTAAAGGATATGAAAGCTATTGAGGATGACCTCATGAAAACAGAAGATGAGTATGAGACTCTAGAACGAAGGTATGCTAATGAACGTGACAAAGCTCAATTTTTGTCTGAAGAGCTGGAACATGTTAAAATGGAACTTGCCAAGTATAAATTAGTAGAAAAGGCAGAGTCCAGCCATGAACAATGGCTTTTCAAAAGGCTTCAAGAAGAAGAAACTAAATCAGGGCATCTCTCAAGAGAAGTGGATGCATTAAAAGAGAAAATTCATGAATACATGGCAACGGAGGACCTAATATGTCATCTCCAGGGAGATCACTCAATTTTGCAAAAGAAACTAAATCAGCAAGAAAACAGGAACAGAGATTTGGGAAGAGAGATTGAAAACCTCACTAAAGAGTTAGAGAGGTATAGACATTTTAGTAAAAGTCTCCGACCTAGTCTCAATGGTAGAAGAATCTCTGACCCTCAAGTATTTTCTAAAGAAGTTCAAACAGAAGCAGTAGACAATGAACCGCCAGACTACAAGAGTCTCATTCCCCTGGAACAAACAGTCATCAATGGTCAGTTATATGAGAGTGAGGACCAGGATGAGGACCCTAGTGAGGAGGAGACTATACTGTCCTTCAAATGCAACTCATCTGCTCCTCTTACTGTGAACAGGAAGCTATGGATTCCTTGGATGAAATCCAAGGAAGGCCATCCTCAGAATGGAAAAATACAAACTAAATCCAATTGCAACTTTGTGCAACCTGGAGATCTAGTTCTAAGCCATACACCTGGGCAGCCACTTCATATTAAGGTTACTCCTGACCATGTCCAAAACACAGCCACTCTTGAAATCACAAGTCCAACCACAGAGAGCTCTCACTCTTACACGAGCACTGCAGTGATACCAAACTGTGGAACCCCAAAGCAGAGGATAACCATTCTCCAAAATGCCTCCATAACACCAATGAAGTCCAAAACCTCTACCGAAAGCCTCATGAATTTGGAACAAACTATGTCCCCAGTTACCATGGCAACCTTTGCCACAGCACACACTCCAGAGTCCTGTGGTTCTATAACTCCAGAAAGGACAATGTCACCAATTCAGGTTTTGGCTATGACTGGTTCAGCTAGCTCTCCTGAGCACAGACGCTCCCCAGAGCCAATAGAAATCAGTTCCAAGCATGCAATTTTCAGAGTCTCCCCAGACGGGCAGTCATCATGGCAGTTTCAGCGTTCAAACAGTAATAGCTCAAGTGTGATAACTACTGAGGATAATAAAATCCACATTCACTTAGGAAGTCCTTACATGCAAGCTGTGGCCAGTCCCGTGAGACCTGCCAGCCCTTCAACCCCACTGCAGGATAACCGAACTCAAGGCTTAACTAATGGGGCACTAAACAAAACAACCAGTAAAGTCACCAGCAGTATTACTATCACACCAACAGCCACACCTCTTCCTCGACAACCACAAATTACAGTAAGTAATATATATAACTGATCACCTTCACCCTCATCTAGTCTATACTGATAATCTTGCAAGAAACTCAATCCTTTTTAAATCATCCCTCCAAATCCCCCAAACGACTGACTGAACTTGTACTTTGGGAAGGTTTCTGCATGAACTATACAAGAGTATCTGAAACTAACTGTTGCCTGCATAGTCCTATCAAGTGTGCACTTACTGTATATCTTTTAATTTACATAACTGTATGGAAAATATTTAGTCTGCACTTGTATAAATACATTTTTGTGTATTTCATTTTCCATAACTCACTTTAATTTGACTGCAATTTGTCTTGGTGAAATACTTTAACACTATAAAGCAGTAAATATTTTGTTATTTTTACCACTGCTTGCAGAATTTTCATTTGGTTATTTTGTGTCATACATTTGCATGTCCAATATAATTTTATTTCCCATTTATAATGCCTATTAATTCTTCCTAAAAAATAAATAAGACCTACTTCTCATTTACAGACAACTTCTGATCACATATTAAAGGAGGACAAAGTGGCCTAAATAAATAAAAATTTACATTTCTGTGACTTCAAAATGAGCCATAAACCATAAAATATCTCAGGACCAACTTAAGATCATTTGTAGATATATATCAACATTCCTGTTGATCAACACAGTGTTTAGCATGTATTAGGGTGTTAGTAAATGTTAACTGATAATAATAGAGTAAAATAGTATTAACTAATTTGTTTTTAATGAACACACAATAAGCTGATGGGAAATGTAAAAAGCTTTGAAATGTGACATAAAGCCAGAAAGTACATTTGAAAATACAAGTTACCTTGATAATCAAGAGCTGACTATATTTTTACCCCACCCTGAAATTTCCATAAGACACATATTACATCCAAATCTGGAAGCAGCCACTATGACATAATCTTTTGAACACTCTGCTTCAAAACCAAAGTATCGTTCTTGTTCCTTTTTCCTATGTGGTTCTAAAAATAGTTTAGATTACTTAATGTAGAAGCTACCCTACCCTGCTTATTACAGATTGACTAATCTGTATGTTAAAAAAAAAAAAAAAGCCTCTAGACAAGCAAATAAAAGCCAAAGATAATTATGAACACAAACAAAAAGTTGCATTATATCTGCAGGGGCAAATAATATACTGTGAATTTCTTCTGTTACTGTTATACCATTTACAAGGTAGGTAAGAAAAACTCAGCCAAGCTTCCTAGAAATTCTGATACCTAGTTCCTGGATTCCTTAGGCATAATCCATACTTTTGAGCAGAGAGAAGCTTTAAGAGGAACATTTTTTTTTAATTTTTATTTTATTCATATGTGCATACAATGTTTGGGTCATTTTCCCCCCTCCCCCCCCCGCCCACTCCCTTACCCCCCCTACACACCTCGCTACCCAGCAGAAACTATTCTGCCCCTGTTAAGAGGAACATTTTAAATTGTGAATCTGCTCCCCAGTCACATTCCATAAAGATGATTTCAAAGTTGCTTATCATCATTTTCCCTTTTCCAGTTTCTTAACTGTTAGTGTGGTCAATTTTATCGCCAATTATTGATTTTAAACACAATTCATCTAGAGGTTCAGGCTAACTGTGAAGACCTTTCAAGAGTAAAAGAAAGCTTTCACAATTATCTTCATTTGCCCTGAAAAATCAATTTCATGACAGCAAAGCAAGGATCTGTTGACAGAAACACTTCCATAGTGATGAACCGCAACACCAATGCTGTGCACTTGCATCATCATTAAATAAATGTGGATGAAACTGAGGCTGATAATGAATGAGAAAGCTTCTGTCTAAGCACATTTATCTTAAGACTCAGCAGTGACTCAACTATATTACAAAATACATGATGATCTAAATGTTTTTCAAAACTGTATTAAGTCAATTTAGGCTAGAACTCTAGAAAGAAATACATAGTTCATTTTAGCACTTTAAAGTAGATAATGAAAATGTGGCATGAGCTCTTTTTCTAGTTAATAATCAAAAGAGAATACATGTAATGTTTGGTGGGCCATCAATCAACTGGTCATAAAATTATGAACAACAGAAATTAGAAAGCATTCAAGAACAAAGACTTCCCAATTTTGTCACATAATGGCACAACCTTACACAACATGTTTGCAAGTCAGAAAGAACCAGATAAAGATTCCTATCACCCAAGGCTCTTACTGGATGCCCCACATGCACAGTAACTAGGCATACCAGTAACAGAGTTTTGTAACTCTGGCTGTATTTATGAGTCCACCTACTTTGTAAGGATTCAATTTCTTATGTGACTCAAAGCAATTCTTTCAATAAAGTTAACACACTCCCTTTGTTTCATGATTATAACACACAAGTTCTCATTTCATTATCTGTTCCAGATCTTAACTATAAATAAGCTTCCTAAGTGGTTAACCTAATATAACTGGAAATACACTGAACCTTTTTTACAAGTCCCTCAGCTGGGAGGATTTTTTTCCATGTAATAAGTAGCATAAGCATCAAAATAAACTTTAGGAGACTGTCATATTAATAACCATATGAAGTTTAAGTGTCTTTGACTAAAGTTCATAGTGAAGTCGTAATTCCTGCAAAAACATCTTCCCTTTTCTATAAAATTACATATAAAATGATACTAGATTTTTGGTCTTTAATTTTAAAAAGTTTCTTATATCCTGCACATGGATAATCTTCATAATAAATATGTAGTTAGGGGACTGTATTCTTTAGTCCACAATGAAGATACATTGTTTATACATAATATCTTAGAAACTCCTATCTTTCTTTCATTGGTCAATGTCCTAGCTTCAGAACCAAATTTCATTTCACTCATAGTCCCATTTCTCATTAACTTTTAGAGCTGTAGCATTCTAGCACAGATTTGAATATTATGCCATATGCTTTCTTCCATTTAAAAGCAGGAAAGACCTGCTGGTGTGCACCTGTATTCCTAGCACTTGGGAGGCTGAGGAGGAGGATCTGTAGTTTCAGACCACCCTGAGCTATATAGCAAGCCACTTTCTCCAAACAAACCAAAGGTCCATAAAAGCAATGGCAAAACTTTCCCCAGGAGGATGCCACTGTTATTTAGGCATGCTGGCAAAAATAAAATCATGGTTCTTACTAAAAGGACGCTGTGAATTACTTCAGATAAATCTAACACATATAAAAGATGTTCTGTGAATAACCCTGATCTGGGACACAAGACCAGAAGTGTTCCAGATTTTTTTTTGGCAGGGGGTGGGGGGGTGGTGTTGGAATATTTGCACAAATGTAAGGGATATCTCAGGGATGGGACCCAAATCTAAACATGAAATTCATTTATGTTTCATATAAACAGTGAATACTTACCCTGAAGGCAGTTTAATATAATATTTTAAGACAATTTTGTGCTTTAGACAAAGTTTTATAGTGTGGAATTTCCCACTTGCAGCATCATGTAAGTACTCAAAAAGTTCAGATTTTAGAGCATTTCAGGTTTCATATTTTGTTTGAGTCAGGATCTCACTATGTAGCCCCAACTGGCCTAGAACTCATGATCCTCCTGCCTCAGCCTCCTGAGGGCTGGGATTACAGACCTGAACGACCATATCTGGCTTAGATTTCTGTCAGGAATGCTCAACTTATACTTGTCCAAGATGATAACAAGAATAATATAAACTCTATAAGAATTTTATTAATTTTATTGATTGAAATATAACTCCAAATGAGATGGTTTTTGTAGTTTCTTTGATATTGAATATTTACAAAGTATGTCTCCTTTAAAAGTAGGGAAATACCTTTAAAATAAACATTGACCCAGTTTCCTATGTCTTGATGTCTGTTATCGCTAAGTTTGTTTTTCAAAAGTAATTGTTTTTCTTTGCAGTCTCCAAAGAAAAGATAAAAATCAGTCCAAAATGCATATACCAAACACTCTCATAGATCACTGTTTCACAAAGTAAAACCAAGACACCTGAATGAGAATCGCGCCCCCCCCAAGTTAATATAAGCTCCTCCCATAGCTATCAAACCAGTCATCTCTTGCTGGCAGTGCCCTCTAGAGCAGCATTTCAACAAAATAAAAATACTGTGCTTGGTTTGCATCCTAAAGATGGAAGTCCATAACTTTGAAATTTTCTATATAGATATCACTGGCAAATGTGTTCTATCATCCCTCTTAGAATGAATTACACCTGTCCCAGAAAGTGTGATTTTGCCCTCTAGAGGCCGGAATGAAAACGGGCTTATTTTCTGGTTTTCTAGACAGCTCAATAAAAAATTGCCATTTTATTGGGTGGGAAGGTTTTATTACTGAAGCAAAGCATAGATGCCTGAATCTTTAACCGAACTATAACAGGCTGTTTTCGACACTTAAAAACTCTGTTTTTTTCCCAGATCCCAGGCTGTGTAGCATTTCTTGGAAATGGTCCAAAGCACACCAAAACAAAGGACTCCAATTCACCTTAAGATACAGTGAAGCAAATGCAAGAAAGACAAGTGGTTCACTAAGTTCCTGAACCCTAACTCTCTTTAAATTCATTTTCATTTAGATTAAACTCCAAGCCCTTTTCTTTCTACATGATGGACACTTTCCACTCTTGAAACTAATTCAAGAAGAGCTTTTGTGCAATCAAATACATCAGAGCAGGCATCCCCTAAAGGCAACACAGTAGGGTAGGGAATCCTTAGGGGGCCCAGCAAGTTAACTATCTAACACCTCTTGAGGACTTTATAATTTGATAATGAATTAAAACTGTTCAAAGGCAGCACTTACGAATCTGCCAACATTTCATCAGGATGTCAGGAATTATGCTTAGAATATTGCCATAAAATATGTCCTCCATGCTTACCCCTGGTATTGCAGTCAGACATCCTAGGATAATCCTCTACTTGTGGCCTCATTTAAAAATTTCTGTTATAATTATTGGCAAACTGGGGAGGTGGAGGCAAAATGATCAAGAGTTTGAGGCCAGACATAATGAGATTCTGTCTCAAAAAACCAAAACTGAAACAAAACAAGAAAATCAAGATAAATAAAATTTATCTAATTATTTGAAGCAAACTTTTGAAAGCTTGAAAACCAGCCTTCTCGTTTTAATGAGTTCTCTTTATCCCCCTTAGCCAACTGGTTTTATATGGTTATGTTTGAGAAAAACTTTTTTTTTTTTTGCAGTGCTGAGGACTGAACTCAAGATCTTGTACTTACTAGGCAAACCCTCTACCACTTGAAGATCCCTAGTCCATTTGCTTTGATATTTGTTTTCCAGATAAGTATCTAGCACTTCCGCCCAAGCAAGCTTCAGATTGTTGCCTTTCTACTTTGTCTCCCAAGGAGCAGGGATCATAGGTGTATGCCACCACACCCAACTCGGTTTTGCCCAGACTGGCCTCTAGTCTCA